CCGTTGAAGAAAATGAAACTTAAGTTAGTGAGAATAATTAGAGGGGCAAAATGGTTATTTATGCTCATACCTAATTATCGGATTATTGACGAGGATAAAATACATAAACGACAAATCAGAAGAAAGTTTTACAAATTTATTAGCTTCTATGATCTTATATATTCCAAAAGTTCAATCTTTTGTCTTTAGTGGAAAAAAACTAAGACTAATAATTAGGTTGGTGGTCTAGGGTGGAGTAGACAAGATCTAATTATTCAAACTTGGATAATATTTGTCCGATCAAGTCCTTGTGGTAGCTCCATAAAGTATTGGAACTTAATTACAGCAATTATTATAATTTTGGGCTTAATTGTAATTACAATAAAGTTTTGTACTTGGTTGTAACTACTATGAAAAGTTATAAACTTAATTGTAATTGTAATTGTAATTGAAGTTATAAGACTACACATGCAATTAAATGTAAACTAATTGGAATTGAATTAAAACTCGTACTTGGATTTTAACTAGAACTCTTGTTTGAATATGGAATTATAATTGTACTGAAATTGTATCATCTTTTTCTCTATAAATAGACTAAATAAACCAAAAAATACTACAACATTCATAATTCCATAGAATTCAAAATTAGAGAGAAAATATTTTATTTTCTTGTTGTCCAAATTCAAGAATTAGTTTTTGGATTAATTAAAAGAAGATGCCCACACACCGGTGTAATCTTTGCATTGAAAAATACCATAGAAGATTTGAAGGTTTGAAACACCAAGATTCTAGCAATTAAAGGAGCCGAAAGTTCACGGATCAGAGTTAATTCAAAGATTGATCATCGAACTTAAATAAAAGATTTTAATCATTTAATTTTGTTATAACATACACGTGAACATCTAGACGATTCCGTTTATTGAATTAAAGAAAATTTTAATTTCAAATTAATTCTGCTTCCACATTCCAGTAGTTCACAGTGCTATAAACTTAAAACTTGTACAAGGTGTAACTTTAAAAATTATATTTTTGAAATAAATAATTTTAAAAATAAGTTTAATTCATTTGCAATTATAATTTAATATATCATCCATCAAATTTTCAATTAAAGTTTTGCCGTGTTTTTATAACGTGAATCACTTATAATTTATTTTCTCTACATGCAAATTTCTTACTTACAATCAAACGCACTTTAGATATCGAAACATTTCTTACTTATAATAGTAATGCCTAATAAATTATTTTTCTACCTATTATTTTGTAACCATCATAACTTTCTGGCACCAATGTTTAATTTTTATATTTTATTAATTTTTTTGTAGATGAAATTCATGTATATAAATTAGACCTCTAAAAATAAGTGTTTTTAAAGAAAAATTGACTCCAAGATTATAATCATCAAACGCCAAACTAATTTAGTGATCATCACATTGCACAATGAACATTTGCAAGGCTCATGCCATAATAATTAAACAAACTTATTTTAAAAAAATTAATTTATCGACGAAAAAACTGTGGCTAGCAAAATAACAATTAAAAAGAATTATTCAAAATTAAGAACGTTTTTCATAAATGATATTGTGTACACACACGCATATAGACACAGAATTTATTGGTAGAATTTTTATAATTAAATAAAATAAAATAAAATGATAAATTATCCACAGATCCGTAATTAAATATAAATATAAATAATAACTTAACTGGAGGGGTTTTTTTTATTATAATGTTGAAAAAATAAATATTTTGATAAATTTATTCACCGATGAAATTTTCTTTAATAAATAAAGTACGAAAATAATAAGAATTAAATACTAACTATGAAAAATTGTTGAAAATGAAATAATAGTTAAGAACATAGTTTAAGGACATTGTCTAAGGTTGCCAATTATGTGAACCTCATCTCTATCAGGAATTTAAAAACAACACTAAGCAACCCAATGCTCAATCTCTCGTTTGGATAAATAGTTTGTACACAGAATCCTCTCAAACAGTGGAAGGTAGTTCAAATTTTCAACATAGAACATCAAGCAAACTGTCTTTACGGGTTTATCTAATTACTCTATGAAGGTTTCAATCAAGGTATGGCCGTTGACAATTTTTGTTGTTCCTACAATAATGTCATACGCCATTCCTTCCTGCAGAACAAAATTGCATTGAGACAATGTAAATTGATGAAGGTGAGAAGATACGGAGATCTAGCAATGAACCGTGCAAAGTGGTGAAAAAGGATTCATATAGTAGACTCCAAAAGATATAGAAGATACTTTTTCGCGACGACGACCCAAAAAACAAAACTGATCATTCGTTGAGTAAGAACCCTTCCACACAGGACTCGCAGTTCAATATCATCCCACACTTAAATAACAGGAAATAATTCTGATGAAGCACTCAAAGATGACATTGTACATGACAAAAGATTCATTCTCTCTCTAGAAATAAAACATTCAGAAGATGTAAAGTAGAAATAAGTTCAGTGTTATATTCTTAAATCAATGGTTCAACACTCAATACTATACATTTGACATTATTAAGTGCTTGAAAGAAAAAAACGAACAACGCATGATTTCATACCATTTATGGCTGAAAGTTAAGAGCATACCTGGGAACTGAGGAAACGAAGTGCAGAGATCTCTGCAAACGTTACCCCACCAATGAAAACTACAAGGACAATAGATCGCCTCCCATCTGCAACTCTGAAATATGGAGAAGGCATTAGCTTGAAGCACATGAATACAAGCTTTTGCACCTCTATTATGGACATCAAACTATGATATAAAATATTTGATCCCATATACAAAAAAGAAAAAAGAAAAGGAATATATAGTAGCCTTTGCAGTAGACATAGCATTGAGAAATAGACAGGAAAAAATTGCCTTATAAAATAATTCAACATTGACATGATACTCCTTAAAACATTCTTCCTTGTAATTTCAGCACACAGGAAAATATAATCTCTAATCACTTGATGATGTCAAATCGTCAAGTGACTGAGCATGAATCTAACCACAAGATAAGAAGGGCCAAAAAAATATAAGGCACACACGAGTAGGTATCTTAATAAATCTAGCAGAAATATTAGAAAACAGTACCTCTCTAAATTGTTCAGAGATCCTGATAGTGTGTCAAATGATGGACTGCTAGCAAATCTACCCTGTATAAGCAAATCTACGTCAGAATGAACCATAATACAATGCCACGTGACGATGAATGAGAGAAGATTATAAAAGGAAGACTGATGAAAGTCTCTACTAACTTTCTTGGTTTCTGAGTGAGGCCCAGGCAGCAGCTTCAAAATTTCTTCAATTGGGCGCCTACAGCATTTGATTCAAATCAGTTAAAGACCTAGAATTTTTCAAATTGCAAAGATCAGGGAAAAAATAATAATAATAATAATAAAAAATCCTCTAGATGCGTTCACAACAGAAACTTTTGAAATTAAAATTGAACTCCGTCTGACTTGCAAGTAAATTGATAGATAAAGAACTTCATAATTAACTGGAACACTCGAATAAAATTTGATCCGATTAACATTCTTCTTTTTTCCACTTAAATGAGATTGACAGGAAACACTTAAATGAGATAGAATTCATTTCAGATAAATATATATTGTTTCTTCAATTTGAATAGATTCTCGAAAGAACTTCCATTATTGTGCACATCAATTAGGTGTCTCCCAACTCAAGTCAACAGCAAATTCACATAACAGCGGATGAACTTTCCTTGCCAACAGAGAACATAGTATGCTAACAAAAGCAAAGTAGAAAGTATCAACAATGATTGTAGTGATTAACTAAAGTTCAAATTAGTCACCTGAAACCCACCTTATTTCCATCAAATAAAAATAAAAAAATTTATGCTTTGCTTGTTCATTGAAAAAAAAAAATGCATTCAGATCCGTTTCTCTCCCCCATTAGTAACTTCCCAGTCTTTTGAAAACCCAGTGACATGGGGGGGGGGGAAGAAACTTGTTTATTCATCAACATTCACTATTTCATTTGAATGCATTTATCAAATGGGAAAGCATTCAGATGTACACAGCTCTCAAATGGCATAATACTTGTTAACCTCCGAATCTAAATGTGACCAGTCATCAACAACTTACAACTCTTCTCTCCTCGACGTCTATGTTACCTACACACTTGGCCACACAGTAGAGGCACAAGAATGATGCTTCTCCAAGGAAAGGAGAGAGGCCACAATCATGCACACTCTGTGATGAGGACATCCCAGTCCAGTTTTAGTTATTTTAGCAGTTTAATTATTTTAGTTGGATTTAGGTTAATTTAATTTTATGGACTTGTGTATTGGGCTTGGCCCTAGGTTTGCAGCATTTTCCAGTATTTAAACTCATTTTGCATTGTTATTTTTCAGTTTATGATGAATGAATATTTTTGGTGGCTTATGGTGTTCTCTCTTCTTGTTTTCTTTCTTCTCTTCTGTTGAATCCCCTTCCCTTTCTCCTCTCTAATTCTCCCTCCCCATAGATCTGTTTTATTTCTCAATTAACTGTCTCATTGGTGCTGCATCACTCTGACTCTCAAACCAATAGATAATTTGGAGTGAGAGAAACAAGAGAGAAGAAACGCTGGAGTCAGATTTAGAATTCTAGAATAAAAAATACCAAATGTAAATTACCTTTAAATGACACAATGTGTGAGAATTTATATGTAAAAAAGATAGAGCTGAAAACTTTCGGATGCTTGACACTTGACTTTATCCCAACGGCTCACATGCATTATTATAAAAAATGGGCCAGGCCAAATGGTCGAGCTGGAAACTTGGTGACCTGAGCCCTTGACTGGGCAGGGTGGATAATATGATCAACCCGATTTTTTACCGGGCTCCAAAATTTTTAAATGAAATTTTAGGTTACAAGAAATTGAACCTTGCACCTCCAGTTAAGAACAACAGCCTAACCACTTGAACCAACAACACTTTGTTATTTTCTTGAGTAATAAGCTATATCTAACTCATAAACATTTAATGTTTTCTAAAAATATTTTTAAAATATTATAGTTCAACATTTTACTTCATTTTGTACAAATAATTATTTTACAGACTTAATATGTATGAAAAAATTATTTTTAATTAATAAGAATTGAATATTTAATGCACATAGATTATCAGTCGATTACTAATAAATGGTCTGTACATAATAAAAAGGGAAATAATATAATATAATTAAATATAATATACAAAACCATATATCAAAATGAAACCACTGTCACTAATAAATGAGTTCAAAAGATCAATAATTTAAAGATATATAAATAATTAATAACACATAACTTTAAAACTTTAATTTTATCTAAAAGAGAAGATTTTATGCATAATTTTTTTTTTTAAATAATTTTATGCAATGGCCCACCGGTCCAACAAACACCCCAATGACTTAGTACCTCAACCGAGTCAATGCCTGGGTCGAGTCGGGTCTAATAACTATGCTCACGTGTCAAGCTCAATGCTGTCACACAACAGTCATTATATGCCTATGACCTCTCCACCATGTGACTACCAGCAATCTCTGCACGTAGCATGTCACCTATTACTAGAACATGTGGTTCTTTTGGTATATCTATGGACCAAGGTTTTTGGTGATTTCTTTGGGATAACAATCGATGATTTTCATCGGCAGATCAATTAATCACAATAATAACAAAATCATAGCAAATCAAAACATTGCCGCTTTTCTCGGTTAATTCAGCTATCAATGAAGAGGATTACAAATCAAATCACTTGAACTGTGAACCTAGAGAAAAATTCTTCACCAACATAAATATCAAGACCATGATTAAGAACTCTAGTTTATGCACCAAACAAACATATTAAAATAGATCATATACAGAAGGAGGCTCACCATCCAGATCGTATAGCATGCTGAACAAGACGTATGCTGAGAGGTGCGTATCCAGAGAACACATAGGAAATATCATTTGGGCTGTTCATGGATATATACAACAGTTAGATGAAAAGAACATCAAAGAAATAAATAGCGGAGCACTAACTTTTACTGTTCAATAGTTAGATAAATCATAACAATGCTCATAATCCTTAGTGCCACTGGACGCCTTTGAAAACAATAAAATACAGGTTCTTTACGTTCAGTAAAGTTGAAAGGTCCTTCAGTTGCTCTCTTGCAAGAGTGCCAGAGTCAGCCCTATACAAGAGATATTATTTAGGAGCAACATGTTAAAAGGTTATGCTACACAAACTCTCTAGCCTTAAACTCCCAAATCCTTTACAGCATTAATTAATAAAACCACGCTTGCTATTAAGGCGCATTATCTGAGGATAAAGCTCCTGTGCTCAAACCACATCAATTCTTATCCCAAGGGCTAACAGAGTTTATCGAGAATTACATCACCACTGCAACTTATTTGGCTATCGAGGACCAACTCAAGTAATATCCGTAGTCAATCCCAGCTAAGGCTCAACCTAGACTAATCAGGTTGTTTAGAAGAGTTTAGTGATACACTCAGTAAAAGAAATAATCCCAAGTTGACAATGAACAATACTAAGCCCAAGAGAAGCAGATCATAATTAAGCCCTTGTTTGAGCCCCATTTTGGGAGGAATGAATGCATTTTGAATAGTAGATTGACGGAGTATATGTGGTTAAAAATTAAGAAAAAGTTTTGGATTTGAGTATAATATTATTTTATTGAAGAATGTGCGGTTAAAAATGAGTTTTGAAAATATGAATTTTCAGAAGAATGAGGCTCAAACAAGGGCTAAGTCTAAACATAATTGTGCATTACATAGTAGCCCAATAGGTTGATCTTTATATATCTCTCTTATAACTCCTATTTTCTTTACAGAGCTTTTCAAGGACACGCATAATGAGAAACTTCTTCAAGGACACAATCAACAAAATATAGTTAAATACCTAAAAGTCAGTGGTAAGCAATTCATTAGAGGACCAATACTTTTTACCTAATACCTAATATTACATTCTCCCAAAATAAACAGGAAGATAAAAAATACTTAGTGGTGTCTGTGTCCTCAACTACGAGTTGCAAAGCACGTTTGACTGTCAGCCAATTGCTCTTTGAATCCTGCAAGCCATAAATAGAATAATTAACTTAGTCAATAAGGTTTTTTCAACTTGATTAGTTGAAGCAGCACTCAAAAGAGAGCAATATTAACTCGACCTGCTTTCTGAACAATCCAGCTTTTTCCAAGTTATTCAATGTAGAAATATGCTCAAAACCATAGCTGTGAAGAAGCTCTCTCCTAATTCAAGAGGATGAAAGCTGAGTTCAAAATTTCTCAAAAGATGATACCCATATCAATCAGAGGAATAGTCTTGAGAAAATGAAAAACAAATGATTTAATCCGACTTGCCTCAAATAGTCAAAATTCTTTTTTGGTAACCCCGAATTTGTTATTGAAAACAAGACCAGAAGACGTAAGACATTAATAAGAGGTTCCTGCTTATGAATCATTTCTTCGATGTACTCAAAGCATCTGCATCCATAATAGCATTATTTCATACTTCAGTACTCTCAAATAGATATACTTATAACAGTATTGAACAATAGGCATTGGTATTCAAAATGATAGCATGTAGAGAAGAAGACCAATTTTATACTCAATGGGCAGTGAAACCTTTAGACTTGTGTTAGCAATCATGTTTGTATTCAAGGGTCTTGGAAGGAAGTTTAATTCGACACTCGTCTGATTGAAAACAAATACCTCTTGCCATGAGTTATCAAATTTAAATCTTTTAATGCATGTGGAAATGATTTAATTGACAGCTGAACTTTAGTGTCTAAAAAATATGAAGAGCAAAAAATGTGTAAAAAAAAAAAAAAAAAAAGGGGCTTAA